ATATGTTTTAAAGGCTTACTGATATAAAAGCTGATTCCTTTTAGGTGGAATAATTAGATATCCATGTTTCACAGTTGTATATTTGGATGTTTGGGTCTAATCTCAAAAAGTGATTTACTGTAATGATAATCTGCTCAAATGGATCAAATGCATAACATCTGTTCCAAAAGTGTAGATTTAATTAAGAACTTACAGGGGGAAAAAAATAAAGCCCTGGAAAATCACAAACCCAGATATGGCTCAGACTACATTATAAAACAGAAACAGGTGATATTATTACTTTCTGTGAAGGCCACTGAATAGTATATGATAAAAAGGATTGGTGTAAACAGGTGAGCTTAATGTATGCAGATGGTAAAATTGGAGAACTTCTCTTGACTGTGGCAAGAGTTTTTTTTGACTGGGAGGAAGCCGGAGTACCCGGAGAGAACCCACGCATGCTCAGGGAGAACATGCAAACTCCATGCAGAAAGACCCCCTCGAACCGGGAATTGAACCCAGAATCTTCTTGCTGCGAGGCAGCAGTGCTACACGCTGCTCCACTGAGCAGCCCAGCCCAGTGTTCACAGTTCAGTTATTTCTTTTTTTATGTCTTGTGTCTTACTTCTTTCCTACTTATGTTAGTGTTACTATGAACAGTTAGTCAAAGCTGGTCCTCTTTAGTCAAATATGACATATTGAATTTGATATTTCACACCATTGTGTTGGTTTACCAACCAAAAATGAAACAAAGTTTGTGCTGTTAACTTCAGTAATTGGGGGAAAAAACGTTCAAGGATAAAGAGTACTTTTTGGAAATATTATTTCTCGGTGTCTCATTTTTACCAAATAAAGGTCCAAATTTAGATTGAGCCAGCTGCTCAACACCTCCTGTGCTTCAGTGTCCCTCTGTGCCTCCGATATGTCTTTGACCTCCTTACGCAAGCTGCCTCCCACTCGGAATATGAGCATCTCATGAATCACATTCGTTGTCCCAGTAATCAGAATAGAAGTTGAAATAAAATACAAAATATGTGTATAAATGGTTGCAGGTTTTGCTCTCTCCCAAAAAAAAGGCTTTTTTCTTGTCAAAATAGCTACAAATGTGAAAGGACACAAGGAGGCTGACTCTGTAGCTTTTCTGAAAGCGAAAAGGGACAAAACTGAACAGAAAAGAGTTGTTGATCATCATCTCTTACATAATTTCACCCGTGTTGACTCTGAAAATAACTGCTTATAAGTGAAAGGCTCAATGACAACTTTATCTGCTCTGAAGGGATTGAAAAAAGGAGTCCCAGCTATGAATGTTAACGCTATATTAAAGACACATGTAATTTGGAGACACTGATATTAATTTAAGACATGATTAAGAGGCATGACTGACGGATACTACATCAACCACAGCACTAAAGAAGACAAATGTAAAACGCTTGGCTAAAGCTGTGACAGTGATTATAAGGGAATTAATGAAACATTCACGCTTGGAGCGGTTTAGTCAGATATGGTTAATTGTAGGTGACTTTTAACCACCATTTTCCTTCAACAGTTACAAGCTTTTAATTTTTCCTACAGGTATAAAATTAACATCAAAGGCAGCTCACCTCTCAGCAGACCTGTTGAGCTAATTAAATGTATCCAAGTTTGGCAGTGGATGATTTATTTCTCTCTTTGTTTATCTAAAATAACACTTTTTTGTCTCAGTTTCTGCATTTCAATTGTTTTGTTTGTGATCTGTCAGTGAACACACGGCCTAGTGTTCTTCTACTGGAGAAGGATTTTTATTCTCAGTGACTTAAACTACTCAACCTGCAGAGCAGTGACCCGAGATGCAAACTTGCACCCAAATTAGTTTGGGAATCTCATACTGGAACTGTGGAAGCCTCACTTTTAGTATTACTGAAATAATGTGTCTGCAGGAGTTGGACGTTTTTTTACCTCTTCATAAATACACCGCCTTGATAAACATTCATATGCACTGACATTTAGATCAATGATTATCTTACAAAAAAGGCAGCCTTCTTTATACAAATGAGGGACCTAGAAATGATACTGACTAGTGGGCTTTGCACTTTATGAAACCCTTGACTTTTTGATTAATCATACAATTCTTATCCGAAAGCCAACCCTGTCTTACTTTGTTACAACCACAAACTTCATTATATTTATTTGGGATTTTATGTGATAATCAACCACAACTTGTACTTAATTGTCAAATAGAAGTAAACTGATACACAATTTTGATCATGATTAAAAATTATCAAGATGTATGAGCAGGTTTTTCTGATTAGCTCTCTTTTATATCATACTGTTTAATATAACTAGTACTCTTATCTGTCATTTTTACTAAATTTCTGTTTAGAGCACTGAATCTAGGTGAAGCAATTAATGATTTGGCCTCAGAGTGTTTTTTTTTTTAATTTTTTAAGACCACTAGTGAAAAAACAGCATCACAGAGACCAAAGAAAGAAAATAGAAAAGTCAGGGAGAAAGCTGTGTAGTTTTCAGCAGGTTTCGGTTATAAAACCAAATCCCAAGCTGAATATTTTATGGTGGTCTTTCAAGAGATTAACATCCATCAGAACTGATCAGCATGGTATTAAAAGTGTTAATTTGGGTATCCAATTAAGAGTTTAAGGGAGCTGAAGAGATCCAAAAGTAAGGGTGTAGATTCTGTCAGAAAAAAAAAAAAACTTTCTTCTGCAATCCACAAGCCAGCTTTTATGTGACAAGAAACTAGAAAATACAATAATCAGCCTAATACTCTGCTACTTTTGAAAGTAGTTTGAAAGTTTGTAATAATCAAACTTGCTACCAGGCAGACTGGTAGCGTGGTTTAATAGGCAGGTGATGATAAAACAAGCTGATGAAAAACTGAACAGACAGGTCGACGACTTGAGGAGACAGATGAAGGTAGAAACCTTTGATAACTACCTAAATCCGGCAGGCAAACCGCAGCAGACTGGTAACAGGCTTTAAGCGGATGAATAATGGGTGACATTTTGAAGCAGGCTTTGAGCAGACCCAAGGCTGGTTGAACAAACTGGTAACAGGCAGAAGCAGGACAAAACGTTATTTGAGCTTGGGTGAAAAACTCACTGTTGGTTTTTGGGTCGTGTAGTTTTTTTGACTCGCATTATAGTGTAGGCTTCAAGGAAAAAAAACTACAAAATGGCGGCGCCAGTACTGGATTTTTTTTCTTTCTATTTTATAAAATTTTTTGGCATCGATTCTAGTACTTACTATTGGTTTGCTCCCGGTCCCGTCTGCTCCCGTTAATGTTTAATCCTGTACCGTCCCAATCACGTGATCGTTACTAATACTGACTCCCATCCCATGGGAATCCCACAGGAATTCCTGAAAAAATGTCAGGCTCTAGTGAACACTTTCACTGGAGGGATCTTTAAATGGCCAAGCAGTAGACGTTCCGGTGGGAAATGACTGCGAGAGGCAGTTAAAAATAGGCAGAGTAACAGCTAGGAGGAATGAGGATGATTTATATGAGTGTCAGGTGTATCTGCTCACTCTGATTAGCAGAGTTAAGGGCTGGTTATCCTCTTGCAGCAGTGTGTTGCAATGAGCTTGTTGCAGATATTTTAGGTTTATGTCCGATTTTGAAGGGTGGTCTGCGTTATATTATTCCATGCCAAAACGCAAGAGGGACAATCAGGAACTAGCTGTGGGTCTAGATACGGCCGAGGCGGTGAGGAAGTGGAAAAACAAAAGGGCCAAGTTTGTGCGACTACGGAGGGACATGAGGGCGAAAAAGAGCGGGAATCAAGGTGGAAAAAGGGTCCCAGCGTTCTTGAGCACCTCGCTCTTCTAGCTGGTCCAACTTCACAAGTCGCTTTCCACAGGTCATACAAAAAAAAACAAATAGGTACCAAACAGGAAATACGCATAGTGTAAAGTGGATGTAGATTTGACCAATGAGAGGCCTCCTGTCTGCAGCACTGTCTGCTTTTACCTACAATTTTGGAGAGGTGCACCAGAGTGTCACAGACATATTTGCGTTCACTGCGACAAACACACAGACAACCTGGTTTCTGAATGTAAATAAGCCTTTATGCAGGGCAGGGAGAGGCAAACAGCAATACCATAAGCTACTGAAGGGGAGACAACAAGCCTATGATTTAAAAAGCTTTGGTCACTTAAGACTAAAACTGAGTGTTTTGGCTACAAAATATTGGGGAAAACTATTACAGGATTGCTCCAGACAAACAAAATGTAAGAGACTGCAAAGATCTGAGTCTGGGGCAGAGGCTTTAAATGATTTAAATAGATTTAAAAAGAGGTCTACCTTTCTCTACTATAACAATCCTAACCATAGAGTACAATAGTGAATGCATGTTTATCACCAGTCAAAGTCTAGGCTTTTTTTTTATGACTTTAAGATCACAATTATGTTCTCGTTCTGTGTTTTTCTGTGACAATCAATCCAAGTAAAAACAGTGAATCTTATGGTTGTAATGTGGAAAGCTGCTACATTTGAACCATTAAGTATCATTGTTGGTATATTTCCAATGTTAAATATCAGTGCTAGTAATTTATCATTATTCAAGTCTCACCGAGGACTATCTTTCAAGATAACATGATATGACACGACAATGCAAATGCAGATGGCACAGAAACCTGTGTATATCATATTTGATGTTTTTCTATTATTTTAAAATACTTGTGATGATAATGGCAAATAATCTGAAATCTGTTTTGTTTTTTTTTGGTCCCCTGCAAAGTGAATGAAAAGTATAGCATTTTAGTGCTATAATGAACTCTAAATAATGATGGAGTTTTGAACCCCTCCCTGCAGTATCTTAAGCCTGAATAGTCAGCTAACCTTGATAAGCTCCACTCAGCGGTATTTCACAATGGATTGACTGTAATGAGTCAGATTCTTTCAAAGTCAGCACTGCCTATTGCATTGGGAGGAGAAAGACACAGCAGGGAAATCAGAATATTGTAAGAGTTGGGGATAAACTGCCCAGACTACATAATGATCCCCTCATCTCTTGCTGTTCTTCCAGACTATGCCTGGCCTCTACCGAGTGCCCTCTGCCCAATCTGGATCTACCTGGATGTACTGTTCTCCACGGCCTCCATCATGCACCTCTGTGCTATCTCCCTGGATCGATACGTCGCCATCCGTAACCCCATTGAGCACAGCCGCTTCAACTCGAGAACCAAAGCCATGATGAAGATCGCTGCGGTCTGGACCATATCAATAGGTCAGCATGCTCTTAAACTTGACATTTAATGTGTAAAAGTCACACACACATACATCCAAAGGGTATTAACCACCAGAATCTGCATATTGTAATGATGTAATGAAACTATTGTTCGGAGCATCATCTGGTAGATTACACAGAATCAATAAAGGACACATTTGCATGTTTGTGTCAGGAGGAAGAAATCCGTTGAATTTAGAGACCCTGATGGCCCTCCCTCCCACTGTGTCACAGTGTGAAACTATCACTAAAGGCTGCTTTCTTCTGTTTGTCAGAACAAATGAGCTCAGGCGATTAAATCTGACAAACAAGGTGCTTCTCTTTGGAGACCTAAAAGAGGCTTAAAGGGTTATTTCACTTAACAGTGAAGAGAAATTATTTAGTCTAGGTTATCACAATATAATCAGAGATTGTTCTTAAACATAATTTTATGCCTCATTGATGATAAAATGAGGCTTCTTGTCTAATTAGCTACATTGACTTATATGCAGTTCTGTATAAATCCAGTCAAAAAAATCGGAAACCTTGGAACTGTGATGTAGATTTCTAAATGTATATCTAGATGCCTAGATGGAACTACAAATTACAGTAAACTTGCTAATGGTGTGGCTTTCATTTGCTGCAGCTAAAGGGTTTTAGGATATGTCTTTGCATTTTTGCAAAGCAGGTGATTGACATCTTTGTCCATTTTTTATTGCATTGCAGCTTAAGCTGAGTAAAAGCTAATGGAAAGCTAATTTTAATATCAGTTTATAAATTATATTAAAATTTATAATCATCCAGGTCATAGTCATTCCATAAAAATTCAAAAAATATCCACTGGACTTGGTTTCCAAGATTTTAAGACGTTTTGCCACCTCTCCAGGAAGCTTTCTCAATTCAAATGTCTGGATCCGCAGTGAGTTTGAGTCTTATATAGGCAAAGCCTTGTATCGCTTGGAAACATGCACTGGTAACCGATGAATGGGTCGTTTGGTTCCATTGTTAGCCTGTAATACCTGAAACCTGTCTATGATTCTGAGGGTCGGTTGTTAAAGGGGGGATTGCCGATAAGGGGGGGATTGTCTCCTGTAATACCTAAAACCTGTCTATGATTGTTAAAGCTACAGTGTGTAACTTTTAGCGACATCTAGCGGTCAGACTGCAGACTGCAGCAACATGAACATCTCCCCCCCACCGCTTCTCCCCCCCAACAGTACGGCGAGCGTTACGGGACAAAATGTCTTCCACGACGTCCGCATCACCTACCTTCTCAAGTGATGAGGTTTGTTTACATAGATAATTTTACAGATAGTATTTCATTAGTCTGTGTAGGGTATAGATTTCATGTAGACTTAAGATAATAAATATACCCGTTATTTTTTCTACATCGTTGTGACGTTTTGGCGATCTCGCAATCGCTAGTTTGTTGGCTCTGGGCTTGCCGTAGCGCAAAGATGTCTGCCTCCATGGCTGCGAGACCCGTTTCTATGTAATTATAAATAACGAATTCTAAGGCAACGCAAATATTAAGGTTAAGAGGCTGAGCTCGTAGATGATGATAAATAACATAGTGATGTATAATATATTACATTTCTGACTGTATATCCCTGTAATTATTACACACTGTAGCTTTAAGAATCGGTGGTTAAGGAGGTATTGTTCACCGGCTGGAGCGGGTAGGTCCCTCGTTCCTCTGTGATGGGGTGGGGGGTTTGGTGATATCTGGAAGGGATCATGTCTATGATTGAATTGTATGTTTTTGGAAGCTGGAATCTGAGTCCACCACCTCTGTTTAAAGTTGTTTTTTCTCTCTTAACATAGATGGCTTCCTTCGTGCCCCTCTCAAACCACCTATTTTCTTTATCCAGAATGTGAACATTCTGGTCCTCAAAAGAATGTCGTTTGTCCACAAGGTGTAGATGTACTGCGGAGTCTTAACCAGAGGAGGCCGCTCTTCTGTGTTGGGCCATGCGTCTGTGGAGAGGTTTTTTTTGTTTCTCCAATATAAAGATCAGAGCATTCCTCGCTGCACTGAAAAGCATATACCACTCCACTCATATTCGGTCTGGGGGTTTTATCTTTAGGATGCACTAGGCCTTTTTTATGTATATAGTTCACTGGTTCGGAATTCACTGACTTCTCATGAGCTGGTGTAGTTTTCACAGGTCTACTTGCGCATGACTTGACTCGTTAAAACAGAGGCGACAATCAGTGCATTAAATCAAAGTATCCTGTAGCACACTTGCATATGTTGGGCTGATTTGCATCATACGCTCTCATTCCTTATAGAATTAATCTATAAAAAAAATGGAGGATAATTTACCTTTAAGGGTTTGTCCTTTATATTGATATTCTGCTCCATGAAAAGTGAGAGGGATTTTCTCTCCAAAGTCAAGTTTAAAAGCTTAATGTTTCATTTTCTGGAGGCCAAAGACCTCTATTGTCAGGCCTGATTGCAAATTATCACCGGATATAGTCTCTAAAACCTTTGACAATGCTCTCACTTCTTAATCCCCCCTGTGAGTCAAGAGTACATGGAGTACTCATTTGAACTTTTCCACATTTTATCATCTTGCTTTCACAAAACTAAAAGGCATTTAATTTGGATTTTACATTATAGATAAATCAAGACAGAGTAGTGTATTATTATTAAATGGAACTAAAACTCATAGCTTCCCTTTCATACTTATTTACAAACAAGAATTCACCAAGTATAACAGGCATTGTTCCCCATCCTTTTGAATAAATATTTTTTGGAACTATATAATAGTGCAACTAGAAAGTCCTTTGCTTGTAATTAATTAAACTTCTGACTGAACTAGGAGCCTCTATGAACATTTTTTTTGTTTTTTTTTGTTTCTATTTCTCAATTAGAGCTTTGGTTGAACATTGGTTTTCCTTTTTTAAACAGATAAACATATTTTGATCTAGACCCTTCCGTTGTAGGAATGCTTCTTTGTTTAACATTGGTTCCCTCATGTGGGTGAGCCTCGGCCTAAATGCCGTCTGTGTAGGTGTCTGAGCGAACACAGAGTCGTCCCTGCCTCCTTCGCAGACACTCTGCTGCATCTCTCCCCAACTGTAGGTGACTCCAGACAGTGCCGCAGACAGGAGGCCTCTGATTGGTCAAATCTGCATCTGTTCAACACTATGCACATTCCCTGTTTGGTACCTTACCACCTTGTTTTGTTTGTATGACCGCCATTGTGGAAAACAACTCATGAAGATGGAGCAGCTAGAAGAGCGAGGGGCGCGAGAATGCCGGGACCCTTTCTCTACCTGGATCCCCGCTCTTTTTCGCCCTCATGTCCCTCCATGGTCACACAAACTTGCCACCATTTCCTCACCGCCTCGGCCATATCTAGACCCACAGCTAGGTCGTGATTTTCCCCTTTTGCTTTGTGGCGTTGAATAAACATAGCGCAGACCAAGCTTTAAAATTGAGCATAAAACTAAAGTATCTGCGTCAAGCTCGCTGCGACACACTGCTGCTGGAGTATAACCAGCCCTTAAGTCTCATGTCTTTAAAACCTCGAAAATATTTTCTTCAATGATTTGACTTTTTAAGTTCCAATCTTTACTGTCTGGTCCCATAAAGTTGGACTCATTCTTAGGCAGGCTAGTCACCATGGTAACAAACTCTGAACTGTAAACCTTCTCCAGGGCAGGCTAGCTTTCAGGACTGATAAGAATTCTAGAAAACACTCCACCCACTGCAGCCAATCAGCAATGTCATTACCTCTCATCGAAGACCCGATTTAATTCAGAGTGCAAATAGAAGTTATACAAAAAAGCATCACAATAAAGAAATTGAAAACCAAAAAGCTGTTGAAGCAAAATATGTTCTTGACAAAATGAATAGTTTTCAATTGATTTATTTTTCCTTTTTGACATCCCAACCTTACTATTCTGTATTTGTTTTCTCTTGCATAATGTCCTCATGTATACCTGGCATTCATTTGTTTCTTGTAAAATTAGTTTATAAATCTAATTAAAAAAATAGAAATAAGAAGGCAAATTATAAGAAGATCCTTTGCATCATCGTGACAGTAAGTCATATTAGCTCTACAGGTTTTCATAGGTCGAACTGCATATTTTTTGCCAGATTGTAGAACCATGGGATGCTAAGCCACTCAGGAAAAATGCAGTACGTTAGGCTGTCAGCTAACTGTAAATGCAGTTTATGAATGAATTCAGCAAATTTTCTGGCCACTTGCCTGAACAACATATAAAGGATGTTAGGCCATCACAGATGAGTCAGTACTTGGATCTAATTTAAATTTCATATTCATTGCATTATGAAAACCTGGCCATATCATAAATATATATATATATAAGGATTAATTGGTTCATTGGTTGATCCATTCTGGGTTTACTTGGGGCTCTGTTGAAATGTATAAGTATGACTGGTAAACTACCGGTACAAAGCCCTTGGCAGTATTTTTCGGAAATTCAACATTCATTTTCACTATAATGCGGATGACACCCAGCTTTATTTATCCAGTAAACCCACTTCTTCACTCCCCCCCTTGCCCCTTACTAACTGCCTACTTTAAATTAAAGACTGGGTCACTTCAAACTTCCTTAAACTAAACAGTGATAAAACCGAACTCCTCCTCGTTGCCACTAAATCCACCCTATCCAAAATCAAAAGTTTCTCGCTACCCATTGACAACTTCTTGGTCTCCCCCTCCCCTCAGGTCAAGAGTCTGGGTGTCATCCTCGACTCCTCCCTCTCCTTTCAGTCTGACATAAACAAAATTACCAGGTCTGCATACTTCCACCTTTGCAACATTAACCGTCTCTGTTCCTCCCTCACCACACATACTGCCTCTGTCCTTATCCACAGCCTCATCATCTCTCGTCTTGATTATTGTAATTCTCTTATTTTCAACCTCCCTCATAAATCTCTCCATAAAATCAAACCTCTTCAGAACTCAGCTGCTCGTGTCATCAGAAGAACCCCCTCCTTTCATCATATTTCCCCTGTCCTTCACCAACTCCATTGGCTCCCAGTT